GTGGGTGTGGAAAAATGGCACTGTTCTTCCACTGTTGTGGAAGGTATGTTACTATATGTTACCTGTCCCAGCAGCACCTCGCAGGCTGGTGGGAGCCCGCAGCTCCTTAGACACAGGACTGATGCAAACCCAGGCTAGACAGTGCCTGCTTCCAAGACACGACGTCTCCAGGGGCAGATGGTTATTGCAATCACAGCCACGTGGGCCTGAAACCAGCCAAGCTGTGTGCTGCGTAACACAGCAATTAGAACAAGGCAAGTATTCCAGTCTTGCCTTAAACCTGAGAGCAGACTGCCAGCTCTCATGAGTCACCTTTACACTGCCAAGGAGCAATTCCTCCAACTCACATCTGAGGGTTTGATCAGTAACAAGCTTCCTGTTCATAAAGATACATATCCATACATAAAAACCATCCTTCCCCTCATACATTTCTTCTGCATTCCCCTCCCTGCTGCCTCCTCCCCCTGTCTCTCCACTTGGAACCTGAGACATCCTCATCTCTTCTAGAGCCGATTTCCTTCACTGTCTCCTGTCTCTCACCCAGGATCAGAGGGTCACTTAGGACCGTCTCTCCCCTACCTCTCTTCCTGGGAAGTGTTCTTTCTCATCTGCCAGGATGTGTAGTTGACTTTTGTCTGCTCCCAAGATTGCTGTTCCTGTGGTCTTTTCCAGGCACCTCACATATTCCCCATCACCCTGCTTCCCAGAGCCACAATAATCCCACTCAGTCTGTGATGACTCTGTGCTGCTAATGCAGAGAGGTTCCATCATCTGGGTTACCTGCAACACAGAGATGTATTACTTCAAATTGTGATGGCAAAAGGAAGAAAAAGTAAGCAGCACAGATGCTATTTTTGCTTTCACTCACGAATGCCTTTCCATTTTTAGGAATCCTTGCAAAATCTTCTGATGAAGCCCTGTGTTATTATTACAGTGTCAGTTCACTGACATCTCTGTGCTTTAGGGTGAGCTGTGTTTTGGCAAAGAAGCTGCCTGACTGTGGTGCCAGCTTTAAATAGGAGGAAGGGCTAGGCTTGGGACTCGGAGCAACTGAACTCGGGGCATCTGCTCCTCCCCCAGGCTGTTTCTGTGTGCAGGGATGGTGGAGGCTCTGAAAACCCTAATGTTTCAGGAGGGCCTGAACTATGCCACCTCCTTTCCTGTCATCCAAACAGCCCTACCTCTGAGAAGAACTGGCAAAGACTCTCATCTTCACATGGCCTCTCTGCCTTCTGGTAGTCTTCACTATCGTCGTCCCAGAGAGACTCACTGAACTCGCGGTCTGCTTCTCGACTGTTCTCCTCTAGCTTCCCCATGGCCACGTCTTCAGGATTCCTCCAGCTCCCCACTTCCAGATCCAAGCTGGAATCCCAGCTGAGAAGAGACTGGAAGTCACTGTTCTTCTCTGACTCACTGGGGGACTCCGTCTCAGACTCCCACCACACCCAGCCATGGCCCATCTGCAAACAAGCATAGAGAGACAACAATTTCTTTGTATCCTGATCCAGAACTGCCAAGCCCAGCTTATTTCCTGACGTACTCAGCCAAAGCACGGGAAGGACCCTGTGAAGCGAGCAGCCTACACCTGAGCCGACACTTCACAGCACATGGCAGGGCTGTAGCTCTGCAACACAAACTGCCACTTCAGAGCAAGCGAATTTCAGGTTTTCTGGTGCTTTTGCTATGCTCTGCCCCTGCCCAGGGGTCGGCAGGTTACTGTGCTTGGGGGACGCTGAGCTGGTTAGGAGCATGTGGCTTTGCCAGATGCTACATGTTTAAGGTGCCAAAGGCATCCAGCAGCAAGCTCAAACCAAGTCATACGGGGGCTCCTGAGCTGCTGACAGTTCTGAACAACTAGTGACACCTGCTGCGCCGTGAGAACTTTTTATACTGGAAATGACTTATTACCAACACTACAGACACTTTGTTTTGAAAGTGACAGGTGTGATTTAGCTGGATGGTGTTATCTTGTATATTTGAGCCAGAATAATTATAACCACACAGAGTCACACACTGACGGGACAATTCTACTCATTTCAGAAAATAAAAGTTAGCATTCTCTTAAGAAGGAAAAAAACATTCTTTCAATCTCTGTTCACTAGTTCATGCCTTAGTGTCTCCTACTGCACGACTCCACTAAGATTTCTCTAAGTCTGGGGGATTGCTTGTAGAGTCACAGTAACAACATTAAAGGCTGTTAGAAAAATCTCTATCTTGCCACTGAACTCAGCTGCCCGGATGCTGTACCTATGGAGAATTCTATGCATTAATTAGCAGTGTCTTTAGAGTTTTCAGTTAATTACGTACAACCTAATTTTTCTAGAGTTTTGAACAAGCACATTTCTCACTGATTTCCTTTTGCATTCTCAGGACTGCTAGCACAACTACAAATAAAGCTTACAGTGCATACCTGGGAGAAATAAGGAATCCATTTGGTTTGGGATGAGAAAACTGGTTTGCTTGTTTTCTGAACTTTGAAGCAGAGCTAGGATCTGAAAGGCCGTCCTTCTGAAACCTCTTTCAAATTTAACTTCGGTGGAAGCAGATAAAATTTGATGAGGTAAGAGATAACATTACCTGCTCTCGGCTTCCAGCTAAAGGAGTTGGGCAAACTGTGATTTCATCTGCAGAGTAACCCCATGCCTAAAGCACTTTCCTGCACCATCAGCAGAGCTGGCTGCACACGCAGAACCAGCCACCGCAGCTCAGCTGAAGAACAGAAAAGCCTTAGCCTAGGGTAATCCAATCACTGTGATCATCTTCCTGTACTCCATTTGAGAGGGATAAGCATTTTAAAATCAGGAAGCCCAGGGAACTTGGGCATAAGCATTGATTAAGAGGATCTTCGGCCTTATGTTCAGTTTTACTAAATCCTGGAAGACTCAAGACCCAGAGTGGAACAGCAGCATTAGTGCAAGACAAGCAGGATGAGTGAAATAATTACAGACTGCTTAGTTCCATACCAATTCTGTACAAAAATAAGGGACAAAAAGGTAGACTTCAAATTTTTATTAAGAACTGCCTAAGAGTTCTTAATTATGTTGGCTACATAAGTCACCAGCAAGGAATTGTTATCAAATCGGAAAGTTTTAGTTCACTTTGCAGAGATCAGACACTGTGCAACCCTCACCAATACGAGAAAAAGCTTAGAAATAAAAAAGATGGCCTTTAAAAGGAACTTACATGTCAAAACAAGAAAAATGATAAAAGCCTGACTCTAGTAAATGAAATGTAGAATCCACAACAAGTAGGCAAAAAAGAAAAAAACTGACGAACAATTTGCTAAAGACATAAAAGCAAATAACAACAACAAACCTCATCAAAAACATCAGAAGCAGAGAGCTGCCAGATGATCAGTGGGGATGACGCATGATCAGTGCCAAACATCTCAGGGGAAAATGGGGCCAGTTGGAAAAACCAAATTAATCATCGTTATCAGCAGTTGCCACAAAGGAGATCACACGAGACTTTCTCTTGGGATGGGTCTGAGACATTGTTTCTAATTAAAATGTCAATGAGGAGGTTTTATAACAGTTTAAGGGATGGAGTAAACCTCAGCACCAGTTGGGAATCTCTCAGGAGTCCTAAAGAAGCTTAAAAAGAACATGACCAAACCTGTGCTGCGTAACCTGTCATTTAAATCAGACAAAGCACAATAGAAAGATGCGATTGTTTGATCTGTCTGTGAAAGGGCGATGTTGAGAGATGCAGCACAGTAAAGCCCGAGCTCTGCACTGGACAGATTAGAACAAAGTATTAGGAAGGACAGAATTAGTAGTCAGAGCACAAGATGATAAATTGGGAAAGAGGCAATGGGGCTCTGTACAGGAAAGTCGTACCTTGGATTTTTAAAGATCTTAAACATCATTAAAGGCTATTAAAATGTCATGGGACAAGAGAAAAGGCTGAGGGAAAAATACCTGGTTAAGAGAAGAAACCAAGGGCAGGAACAAACAGCAGCGCTTTCCATAATGAAAGTGAATTACTAGTGGGCATGATAAAGGTCTTCCCATGTGCTACAACTTCAGTTGCTCAACACGGACAAAGACAGGGCAGATGTGTTACAGAGGAGCTGGGGCCAGACTCTTCCCAGCGGCCAGCAGCGACAGGAGAGGACGCAGTGACAAGCCGCACTGAAGGAAATTCAGCTTGGACATAAGGTAAATGTTTACTCCATGGCAGCGAGTAGGCACTGAAACAAGTTGTCCAGAGCAGTCAGGGAACCACCATCCTTGGAGATTTTCAAAACTTGACAAGGCTCTGAGCAACCCGATCTACCTCTGAAGCTGCCCCTGCTTTGAGCACCAGATTGGACTAGTGAAGTGGTCAGAAGTCCCTTCCAACTTAAATTATTCCATAAAATACCGGAAACCAAAATAAACCTGTACTTTTTGTGCTATGAACTTAACAACCTGTAATCTCTGGAAACAGGCTATAAAAATTCACATCAGAAATTTGTTTCCAATTTCAGTAGTGAAGGAAAATTAGCCAGTAAGCAAAACAAATGATTCTACATTTCCAGCATCAAATGTGTAGAGTGATTCTTGGTGGAAACACACCTCAGCCAAACACAGGACTCACCACAGCAGGCACAACCAATTTCAACACAAAACTTGTGAAAATCAAGGTAAGGTAACAATGTCTATGGAAAGAATGTCAGGTACATTTCAGTACATCCGTCTCTTGAGGAAACCTCCAACAAGACTGTAGTATTGAACTCCTCATGGTTAGCTCTCCTGTTTCATCACAACAGTGCCACATCGTCACACACACTCAAGCAGGGAATCTTCCCCTCCATCCAAGCACTATGCAACATTCTCATGATTAACAGATTGTCCCTCATGTCAAAGCTCTGCCGTGCTTGTGTGCTATATGGATAAATGGAAGAGAGTTATATTTGCAGATATTCAAGACAGGTACGCACGCTTGTACAAAGACAGGTTCCTCACCGCCCAGAGCTGCGATGCCCAGTACACTGCACACTGTACACTGGTTTTGTTCCCAGACTTTAATATACATACACATTTACACATCACTAGTAAAAATCTGTACACTTCACATTACAGTACATACGAGCCACCAGTTACTAGCTAACACCAGAACACTGATGAAGCCCAAGACGACTGCCCTAAAACGGGCAGGGGGGCTAGTCTTCCTCTCCAGGGAAGCTTCTTTGGGTTACACATTCTGATGAGACACTGCTTTCCAGAGGGGCAAGTGAAGAAGGTGGACCAGGTCCCAGAAATGGACCTGCAGCTTTTCTTCCTCCTCCAACAGCTGTCAACAGCATCTTGCTTGCACTGCAGCTCTGGATGCCAGGTGCTGGGATTTTCCATCCGCCTGCAGCATCATTTCTTCATCTTCATGTCTGCCTCGATGGCACAACGACGCCCTCTGGTGCCACCGTCCTAGTCACAAGGCAAACAGAGAGAGTTACACAACCCTAAACACAAATTTCACTTCCTCCAGCACTTGAGGAGGTAAGGAATTTTGCATATGGTAACAGCTTTTCATGCCTTCCTAACAGGAGAAAGGGAAGCTGTCCTCAGAGGGCCTGGGGTGGCCTGCCTGCAGACCTACTTAAAATTCGCTCTGGATGTAGCACAGGTGCTGGGATTTACAGCATCTCGGTGCACTGCTGGTAGCCAGTGCAGAGAGAGGCAACAAGGCTCTTGCCCAGAGAGATTGCTTTTGGAACCTGTACAGTGCAGGCTTTATCCTAAGTGGCAGATTCTAGCTTGGCTCTTAAGATGGGAAGAGGAAACTGCTGACTAACCTACCTTATCAGCTGCTGATCCCTACGGGAAGTGCTCCTCCAGTTGAGTGACCCTGGCACTAGCTCCCTAGTTTCTCCGCACAGCTCCTTTCCATGAGCAGAAGGCGAGCTGAGAGCTTCCTTTGATCCGCTGCCCTCTCCCTCTGGCTGACATGCTGACTCTCCTGGAGGACTCCTCTGTCTTTAGATATATGCGAGAGAAAAAAACAACTCTCCATCTTCCTCCCCTCTCACCTCCCCTCAACTCAGAGACTTGGGGTTTACTGGAGGGAATATTTTTCCAAACACTTCCAGATCACCACAGGCACAGAGCAAGGTATTTCTGCAGAGTATCTTATTTCCTTTCTGGACCATGAATGATAAAGGAGCACACAGCTGACTCCTCACCTTCCCAAGACCCTTTGTACTGTCTCGAACGTGTGGAAGGGGCAGCTGTGTAAGTGTGAGAGATGCAAGAACTATACTACTGTACCACTTGGTCTGTCTTCCCATTTACATGGAAAGAAAGCAGGAGAAAAGTTGTGGAAAAAAGCAAAGGCAGATGACAAAATGAGAACACTTGGAACCAGAAGAAAAGATTGAAGCCCCTCCCACTCACCCACGCTGAGAAGAAGGGACTGAGATGTTTCTTCTCTAATGATCATGGTTGTACAGCCCCCAAGATAAACACACACCGCTGCAATGCTAAGGATGCTTTGACAGTGCAGTGATCACCCAGACAAGGAGCAGAGCACACTGCCAGCAGTACTGCAGTATCTGCTGGAGCCTTTCAATACTTACAAAGAGAGAGAGAAGGAAGGCAGGAGAGCCCATTGGGACACTGTCCTGTTAAAAGGCCAAACAGAAGGACTTATCAGATATCAGATACGGAAATGCACACACCACGTAGAAGCACTGAGCCCACACACGAGCATAGAGAAACGCGTGCCCGACTCCCCTTCCTGCATGGCATCAGTCTTATGCAGCAAGAACACAAAAACAGACAAAAGAGGGATACGGCGAGAGTCAGAATGCTAGGAAAGGGATATTCCCTCCTCAGTCGTGGCAAGGCCTGGTCTTCCAAACAATTTCTGCACTGTGCAGTTGCCACTGGAACTAAGGAGGCAGTCCTTGCTGTCACAATGTTGTGTGTACCAGCTGAGAGCACCTGAGATTGCTTGATAAAGTTTAGATGTGTCCTTAAAAACAAATCTACATTGCTATCAGCTCAGATCAGTGCGGAAGTCAGAGGTTCTCTGGTGTGTTTTACACAGCAAACCAGACTGGAGTGATTCCCTGGTTCTAAAAATCTGACTAGGAAGTGAAGAACATGGCAGAGGCTAGTCTTCTGATTCTCTACACCTTCACCTTCCTGC